TTAATGTGTCACGACGAGAAGTGAGTGAGCGAGTGAGTTAAAATTTAAAGTTCGCAAAGTAGAGTAAAACAAGTAGAATAGCACAGTTATAAATGTAAAATTATCATGAAAACTTATAACATCTTAACTATGAAAGACAATACAATATTAAAAGCAGGCAATACATAGCCAACAGCTGAAGGTAGATCACCATACTAGGGACCCATTAGAAGTGATGTAAGAGTACCTCGCCTTTGTTAATGTCTCACGACTAGAAGTGATTTATTCAAGAGCAGCTCGCCTTTGTTAATGTGTCACGACCAGAAGTGATGTATTCAAGAGTAGCTTGCCTTCGTCAATGTGTCACGACCAGAAATGATGTATTCAAGACTAGCTCGCTAGAAGTGATGTATTCAAGAGCAGCTAACCTTTGTTCATGTGTCACGACTAGAAGTGATATATTCAAGACTAGCACGCCTTTGTTTCTATCTCACGACTAGAAGTGATGTGCCACGACTAGAAGTGATGTATTTAAGAACAGTTCGCATTTGTTAATGTGTCACGACGAGAAGTGAGTGAGCGAGTGAGTTAAAATTTAAAGTTCGCAAAGTAGAGTAAAACAAGTAGAATAGCACAGTTATAAATGTAAAATTATCATGAAAACTTATAACATCTTAACTATGAAAGACAATACAATATTAAAAGCAGGCAATACATAGCCAACAGCTGAAGGTAGATCACCATACTAGGGACCCATTAGAAGTGATGTAAGAGTACCTCGCCTTTGTTAATGTCTCACGACTAGAAGTGATTTATTCAAGAGCAGCTCGCCTTTGTTAATGTGTCACGACCAGAAGTGATGTATTCAAGAGTAGCTTGCCTTCGTCAATGTGTCACGACCAAAAGTGATGTATTCAAGACTAGCTCGCTAGAAGTGATGTATTCAAGAGCAGCTAATCTTTGTTCATGTGTCACGACTAGAAGTGATATATTCAAGACTAGCACGCCTTTGTTTCTATCTCACGACTAGAAGTGATGTGCCACGACTAGAAGTGATGTATTTAAGAACAGCTCGCATTTGTTAATGTGTCACGACGAGAAGTGAGTGAGCGAGTGAGTTAAAATTTAAAGTTCGCAAAGTAGAGTAAAACAAGTAGAATAGCACAGTTATAAATGTAAAATTATCATGAAAACTTATAACATCTTAACTATGAAAGACAATACAATATTAAAAGCAGGCAATACATAGCCAACAGCTGAAGGTAGATCACCATACTAGGGACCCATTAGAAGTGATGTAAGAGTACCTCGCCTTTGTTAATGTCTCACGACTAGAAGTGATTTATTCAAGAGCAGCTCGCCTTTGTTAATGTGTCACGACCAGAAGTGATGTATTCAAGAGTAGCTTGCCTTCGTCAATGTGTCACGACCAGAAGTGATGTATTCAAGACTAGCTCGCTAGAAGTGATGTATTCAAGAGCAGCTAATCTTTGTTCATGTGTCACGACTAGAAGTGATATATTCAAGACTAGCACGCCTTTGTTTCTATCTCACGACTAGAAGTGATGTGCCACGACTAGAAGTGATGTATTTAAGAACAGCTCGCATTTGTTAATGTGTCACGACGAGAAGTGAGTGAGCGAGTGAGTTAAAATTTAAAGTTCGCAAAGTAGAGTAAAACAAGTAGAATAGCACAGTTATAAATGTAAAATTATCATGAAAACTTATAACATCTTAACTATGAAAGACAATACAATATTAAAAGCAGGCAATACATAGCCAACAGCTGAAGGTAGATCACCATACTAGGGACCCATTAGAAGTGATGTAAGAGTACCTCGCCTTTGTTAATGTCTCACGACTAGAAGTGATGTATTTAAGAGTACCTCGCCTTTGTTAGACTAGAAGTGATGTATTTAAGAGTACCTCGCCTTTGCTAATGTCTCACGACTAGAAGTGATGTATTCAAGAATAGCTCGTCTTTGTTAATATGTCACGACTAGAAGTGATATATTCTGCTCAAAACAAGTTAGTGGCTGCAAGTGCATGTCAACTGGAGCCTGAAACGACACACTTCAGCATTACAAAATACATCATTTATTGATAGAACGTGACTTACTCAGAGCTAGCAGAAATGGCCTGGTCGTATCTTCTGACTATAGGAGCAAATAAACAAACCTGAAGTTTGTATTCCTTTATTCCCAGGTTGTTTTTCTATCACAGGTATAGGACTTACACACTTGGCTACATTATATACATATGGAAATTAATTAAGCAACAACAAATTAATAGACCTATAATTCTGTAAATTAAGAGGTGAGGTGAGGGGAACTTGGGTTTTACGTCGTGCTTGAGAATATTTCGCTCATATGACGACGTGCATGCGTGTGTATGTGTATGTGCGGCTGCTTGTACTAGCCCAGACTTCAGCTGGTTTTATAGTGCTAGCCCACTGAGATACCATGCCGCAGTGAAGCATGAATACCCCACTCAGACACATTATACTGACTCCGAGCCGACCAGTCCTTGTTGTACCCATTAATGCCGAGCGCCAGGCAGGGACCAACAAGTACCATATTTTAACGTCTTTTGGTATGACGCGGTCGGGGATCGAACCCACGACCTTCCGCTCTCCGGGCGTACTCTCTGACCACTACACCACGGAGGCGGCCTGTAAATTAAGAACACAGAGAGTGTTTCTGAATGATTTCGTAACATGAGGCATTTTTTTGTTTAGCGTGATTTTTTTGTGGAGTTATTCAATGTACGTGCAATGTCATACATCCAGCGTTGTTGAAATCAATGATAACATGTCACACCCTCTTCTTTCAACTTGTATTAAATATCCAGTACCATCGTCGTAAAGTGTCAGAGGTGACAATCTAGGTTGTTGCTGGAGAATGCCCTGAATGTGTTTTCGTGTTGTTTATGCCATTGCGTGATGTCGTCATTGACGGAATGTATGTCAGGCAAAATAGAACAAACAAACTTGGAATACACTAACATGTAACGCCTGGTCGGCCAACATCACTCTTTTTGTAACTGCTCCAACTGACACAGTCTCAACTGTTCCAACTGATACAGTCTCAACTGTCGCAGCCTTCACGCGGCACTTCATTAATTGTTTGATAAAACAACCAGCTGTAAGTGACATACCAAACAGTATCAAATAACGCCACGTACAAGGCAAGTTATTGAACTAGGTAACCTTCCAACTGTAAATGTTCCCTTTCTGTCGAGGCATATTACAACATTCAAGGCCTTGGCGAAGAAACGGTTTATATTTTATATTTATGAAATTGTTCGTCAGTAAAACAAACAATGACAAATTCCCTTTTTTTACTTGAATCACATGTTCAATGAAATTTTCAGACATTCATTTGCCTTTGAATGTGTGTGTGTCATTGGTGTCACTATCAACCTCTCTGAAATTGGGATCTTGGCCTCTCTGGTCTGGATTCATGACGGGCTAATGTCGGTACCGACCTCTTGACGTTAGATATCATCGGCGGCACCTAGCCTCGTATTATCGTCCAGGAAGACTGGCCTTGTGTTCCGTGATGGTCATCGAGAAGTGGCACCACATGCCTGTCTTGGATATCAGTCATGTAGCGTTGTCCGTACAGATTCCGTCTGATCGCCATAACGTCAAGTTTACAGTCAAGTGAGAGGCACCCCAATCATCAATTTCGGACCGTTCTGTTGGACAAGCGACGATAAGGAAGCCACTCAGTTTTTAACACCCCACTTGACATGAACGGATGAAGTCTTTTGATTCTGGGAAGGGTGTAATCCTCCTTAGGATTTGTCATTCGTGGTCGCCAGGAGCCCTGACAGCCGTTAACATTATTAGTTTGCTGATGTTTTCGGGCCAGTCGGCTGAGAGTCGATTGTGCAGTAGCCCTCAATGGCAGCGTACCAGTAGCTTGCCATTGGGGGTGTCGACAAGGTGGTCTAGCTTCATGTCCACAAAAGAAGTAACACAAAATATCTCCAACTTTGAGCCAGAAAACTGAAGTGAGTGAATATTGTTTCCTGCCGTATATCCCATCAGCATGCAAATTATTTATTCTGGAACAGGTAACTCATGTACAACGAACCCAGCCATCAGAAAACCAGCCTATGATCTCATCAGAGTGCCGTCACCATTAGTGTTTGTCCGGTGTAAAGGTCTTCTTCGTCGGAAAGTCGGATCAAGTAAAGCTGAAAATCACACGCTTATAACATCTAGTAATAAAACTCTGAGCATAAAACACTTTTAGTAGACAGCGAACATTTCATTTCATGACATTTTAACATTTTTACATTTGGGTTTTATATCATTGTGGTTAAACACGAGTTCTAGTCTTTGCTAAAATATTATACTAGACCTAGATTTGCCCTTTGCGTGTTGACGATGCTCTCAAATTTTCATTTAGCTCAGAAAACACGAAATACCCAGACCAGTGAAGCAGAAACTGTACATACTTGTTCCCGCCAATCATTGTTTTCAAGTTGACACAAACAACCGTTCAGGAACTTTGAATAGTACTTTAAAAAAGTGTCTACTACAGTCTGTTTGAAACCCTTCGTAGCCATTACTCAATTGTTCAAAATGTTTCGTCAGTGAGTTGGAATTACTTTATATTTCGGCTGGGAAGACCGGGAATGGATTTCTAGTGTGCCCATGTACCCAAAACCAAAGACTTTTGTTCAGCATCATCGCAAACATCGGGATTAAATAGCACTCAATTTAAAATTACTTTACTCTTTAGAATTCAAATTGTGTTTGCCGTTTGAAATTATCTGACCTCTGCAGAAGAAAATTAAATCTAACAAAGATGGAAAACAAAATAGAGCAGCGGTATGTCAGCAGTTGTGCGGAATTGACACGCTCAGTTAGCGACACCAGGCATTGGTTATTCTGTATGCTGATTGGTGTAGGAAAGTAGGAGAGTGGATCAATTCCACAGCCTCTAGAATCCTTACCGAGCGTACATATCACTATTTTACCAACACCTCTCTTTCCACTTTCAGTCATTGTGCTGAAAGATTCGGTCCCAAGATGAGCAGGATGGCCTTCCTGTGGCGTCTGGTGGTCACTTCAGGTAAGTGTATGTCTACATTTGTGCTCTTGTCAAGAATGCTTCTCAGTATCCAACGGTACTTAAAACTTGTTTATTTTATTTCTTTACTGATTTTATGATAAAATGAGGATATGGTGTTTGTGAAATGCGTTATTTGTCACATCTGCAGGCTTGAATTCAGTTGTACCTAGTTGCTACTAATACATATTTATCAAATACTAAGATCCTTTAGTTCAAGGAGAAAACGAAATTATGTTTCCATCAGAATATAAGGTGTGTGAATGATAGGACAGGAAGTCATGAGCTCAAAGGTCAAGGTCAGAGGGTAGATCACCAAAGTTCGGTTACACTTTCTCAAAATACATGAGCGAGACTTCGTAGGTTATTAAAACAGACCGGAAGTGCACATATCTTTCTCATTAAGATTGACTGATTGTTGTTTTACACCAAACACAGAAATATTCCAGCTATATGGCTGAAGTCTGTAAATATTCGAATCTGGACCAAACGATCAACAGCATAAGCATCGATCTACGCAATTTGGATACGATGATGTTTCATTTAAGTCAGCGAGTCTGACCACCCGATCCTGTTAGTAGCCTCTTACGGCTAGCCTGGGTTGCGGATGACCAATTCTAACACAAATCTTCAAGGGTCTCTCATTAAGTTTGGTTTGTGGTGTAACGCCGCACACAGCAATATTCCAGCTATTGGCGGTCTCTCATTAAGGAAGACAGGAGGTGCTTTATAGAGAGAAGGAGAATGTTTGCACGCCAAACACTTTCCAAAGATCAGGTTAAATAAAATATTGCTATGGAAACTTAAGTCAACTTTACTTGGTTCTTTCTTTTAAAATCGGATTAAAATAAAAAAATGAATGTGACGGTGCCTTTGTTTTGGCAGCGCCTCGGAATTGGCGATCGTGCATTGTCCACTAAAAGATTATAAGAAGATAAAAGTTTTGGGCAATTTTGGAGACATAAATTGCGAATATGTTAACGAGGATCGGAAGTGGTTCCAATATCTGTCCTTGCAGACATCTGCTTGAGATCATTTTCCGACAAACAAAATGCTAGATTCGGTCGAAATGTGTTGGTATGTTCACTTTTGTTATTTTGTCACTGGGGCGGTGGGGTAGCTCAGTGGTTGAAGCATTCGCTCGTTTCCAACATGGGTACAAGGTTCTATTCATCACGTGGGTACAATGTGTGAAGCCCATTTGTGGTGTCCCCCGTCGTGTTACTGCTGGAATATTGCTAAAAGCGGCGTAGAATCCAGCTCACTTACTCACTCACTATATTGTCACTATGTGGAATGTGAGACTGCATTAAGAAAGCTCCGTAACGAAAGATTGTGACAGGTCAGCCAGACTTACACATATCCTATAACAGTTTCCGTTTGATTCTCTAGCAGGTGTCCGCAGAGGACGATCAGTTCTGAAGATTAACATGTATCGTCTAAACTACGTCCCCCTGAGTCCCAAAACGTTGAAAGTAAATTCATAGTATTATTTTAACTGCAGTATATACGTCGTTTTAACGTATGGCTACACTTGTCTGCAATCGCTAACGTCTGACGGGATGATGTAAATCCAACTAGGGTCCATGCAGGTAGCAAAGGCACTGTAAGTCCCCATGGTCCTTGGTATGGTGATCTAGTTTTACTTGTTGGCGATCTATAGCCTGAGTTTTATATTGTACGTTCTTCTTTAATTCAAATGGTCTAGTTTTACATACCAGTTATATACTAGTCACATAAAGAAACTGTGCACACAGAAAATGCCTTCATAATTGGAATACAACACAGCAAAGACGAAATGATGTTGACACTTTATAAGCTGAAGTATCGGACCACGAGAAAATGTCAAAAGAACATGAACAATATCCGTAACGATGACGTCAGAGGTTCAAAATCGAGTAGGGGGTCACACGACGAAGTCACAAAATCAATAATGGGTATGACCACCATGTGCGTGAAGCACAGCAGTGCAACGACGACGCATAGAGGCTACCAAATGAGCATTGGAGGCCTGGGAAATGGTCTGGGGTGTGGTCACTACTGTCTGGAACCTGTATCTGAGATGAGTCACCCGAATCCACCTGTCCTGTCTTGGCGTCGTTACGTCGGGAACGCCCAGAACGTGGGTGGTCGGCGACGCCATTACTGTTTCGATAACGCCTGACCCATACAGATATCGTGTTACGATGGCATTGGAAATGTGCTGCCACCTGTTGTTCGCTCATTCCTGCTCGAACCATTCCAATGGCTTCATGACGTTGAGCAGATGTTAATCTTGGGATGATGTGCATGTGACTTCTCATGTGGATTTGTGAACGTTTGAATGACCAAAGATCAAGCTTTTGACAGTGACAGCAATTTCAGAGTTTCACATGTTGTGTGCAACTGTACGGGCTGCACCTGCAGTAACATATTGCAAGGCCATAGGCCACCGTCAATGACGTCACGTCGCCTGGCACGTCCATGAGCGTTTGATTGTCTCCAATACTTGCTATGTTCACAAATGTATTTATGTATAAATACGCTGTGTGCCTATATTTATATTTTCTGAGTGCACAGTTTCTTTATGTGGCCAGTATATATTCATATTTGTGATACTCTATCCATCCTGGTCAGGTTTTACTTTTCAAAATGTTTTCATTTGTATTGTATACATTGTTTTCGTCACGATATGGCTGAGACATTGCCGATAGGACGTTAAATGTCAACTCACTTACTCACTCTCCTAAACTACATCGTAGATAGGTCATTGTCTAAAAGACAAAGTGAGTATCAAACTACATGTATATAGATTATTATCACTGTCTGTTGTATCATTGAGAGATATTCATTCACATGCTGTTTTAACTTACAGGTATTTTGAAGGAAACAATAGGAAAAGCCTTCATACAAACCAAACCTGCGGGTGAGACGACGAACATTGATATCAGCCAGAAGGAGTCGCTGCTACTGCAAGTGAGAGGCTGTACTGACCTCTACGTTGTGCTCCGTGAGAAAGAGGGTGGAGAAGAAGCAGCTATTGGAATTGGGATTAATTCAAATAATGGACTTATAATGAAGCCATGCATCACCTGCACAGCGCAATACGGTGCCGCGTCAGCATATCTCGACTGCGAAGCATTTAAGCCCTTTTGGGTAACATGGGCGGGAATGACGGTGAAGATTGGTCGCGGCCATGATGTGGGGATGCAAGAGATTCTTTCAACGACATCAACCAAGGCCTACAGAATCAACTTGCTGCGCCTCGCGGGCGTTGCTAACTGGATCATAGGTTTGTCATTCCATAGCATCTTTAATTGTTTGTTGTTTAATGTCTTACTCGGCGAGATTTTAGGCGACAAAGTCTGGCAATAGGATTGAGCTGTGGTTACTGGTATCTAACAACATCAAAACGAGTCATCACATGATCTACCCCTGGAGACGGACCATGTGGGTCCCGGGGGTCACCCCATGCTAGTAACTGCAGCTTCCGTAGATTGCATGTGCTTTCTGACTACCCAGCTAATGAACATTCCGAACAATCATGATATATATAATATCCAATTCAAGGTTAGATCGCATCAAGAATGACAGTTGGAAGTTGCTTTCAATAAGCGTCAAGGCAGTCATCAAATACTTGGTCTATGATGACATACATAGTAAATGTTTTCCAGGTTGTTTTATAGCAGTGTTGTTTTACATACGTTCACGTTCCACACAGCCATTGAACCAACTTTTATAAATGACAAATTGTAGTAGGTTAATACTAGCCACTATTACTGTACATGAAGCATATCTGATAGTTGTATCTATCCATTATACAAATGAGACAGCTATCAGTTTTTGGGTAAATTCAAAACGTTGTCTTTTGATGCAGCTAAGCACAGTCTGTACAGCACCAAAAAGTGCCACATCTGCTAATCTCAGATGTTTCCTCTTTTTCAGAAACTGGGGACTTGAAGAGAGGCCGTCATCTCTACCAACGCACTGTGCAACCTCTGGAAGGTATGATCGACGACCTGGACGTGTTCCACTCCTTTGCTGCTGCCGACATCGTCCGCTGCATTGAAGCATGCCACGAAATCCAAGGATGTCAAAGCATCAACTACAACAAGCAAGACGGCACCTGTGAGCTCTTTGCTGCTTTGCCTGGTGATGGTGACTTCAAGGCCAAGGCCAATTTGCAGTCGTGGATTGTCGTTGGTTGAGTTCTCCACTGACTGGACAAGGATCGTCAAGCTGTCTAAGCAGCTCAGTACAAAATGCATGTAGTCGCTCACTCACTGTAATCGTTCAGTGTGCAAATGTATCATTTATGTTCATATTCACTTTCGTGAGTTCTTGATGAACAGACAAGAAGCACCTTTCACAGTATTCCATTCATTTCAAACTAATATCATTTCCACAATTTTGTAATTAGTTTCTCGTCTGATTGAGAATGACAAAGGAATCTGTAACAGATTACAACCGGTAGAGAGAAAAGATAGTATATGTCCTGAATTCAACACATGTCATTGTTTTTTTTCATTATTTACCATCTTTATTCCACAGCTTACATAGTACATGTAGAATATATTCACATGAGTATAATTAATACACTTTCACAAATCCCCTCATACCATGAATAAACATCTTTAAAAATGTTTTGCATACTTTATCTCTGTGTTTCAAATAATAGTAACAGTAATTAAATACACTTACAATATGTTTTCTGACGTCATACTTTATGTAATAGATTGTGGAAAGACGACCAGAAGGTAAAGAACTCACTGTTACTGCATGTAGAGTAAGCATTATATTTTGTGCACAATTGTTTCTAATTCCTTTGAACAGAATGTACATTTAGGTGTGTCCTTTAGACCGATTCTATTTAAGAAAATGTTTGTTGGTAAAATATCATATAATATCTTCATCTGTAACCATTTCAAGTTACTGCATCGTTGTACTTCGATTTGTCATCATATATATGTTTCGTAACATTTTGTTATCATACTGTGTTTCAAAGACTCCCAATTTTTATGTGCATATGATTTAGTGGAATTAGGGTCTAGTAGAGACAGATAAAAGGTTTTGGAGCCTTTAACCCTTAGACTAAGTTTGGATATATTGAATGGTAGTATTATTTAGGTAGAGTGATTTGTCTTCTCTTTAAGCAGGCAATTATGGAAGATTTGATACTAAAAAAGGTGCTCGCAAATCCATTTACAAGTACACTTGATTTCATATATTTAAAGAAAGTCTAATCCACTTCTGAAAACTAGGTCCGAAATTAAAGAATCTTAACACATTTAGTATAACATTTCTGTCAACTGAATCAAAAGCTTTTTAAAATCAATTAGAACTAATAGTCCTGATATTTGATAAGACTCTGTATACTCCATTAGATCGTATATCAGCCTTGTGTCCTCAACAATATATGTTCCTGGTACAAAACCTAATTCATCATCATTTATTATTAAAGGTAGTATCTTTTTCATTCTTTTGGCTATAACAGCTGATGCAGTTTTATACGATGTGTTAAGGAGAGAAATTGGCAGCCACTTTTTTTAAATAGTTTTGGATTGTTTTCTTTTGGTAGGCATGTAATTAATCCTTGTTTCTGAGTAACTGATAGATTTTCGTTTCGATATGCATAATTTAAAGAATTTATCAAAAATTTATTTAAGTCTATCCAAAAGAATTAAAAACATTCTGTTGTAAAACCGTGTGGTCCAGGGCTTTTTCCGTTTTTCATTTTTTTTCAATGCTTCTAGAGTTTCCTCATATGTTAGTTCGCCCTCTAAAGTTGCGGCACTGTCTTCACTTAGTTTTGGTATATCGTATTTGTTTAACAAAGAATCAAGATTAACTTGTGTGCAGTTTTCATTTTTATAAAAAAATTATAAAAGGCTTGTGTTTCCTTTAGTATTTTTTCCTGATCTTTAATGGTTGATCCATCTTTTGTTTGAATTTCTGATATAAGACTTGTCCAGAAAATTTCTAAATTCCAAATTTAAAGAGTATCTACTTGGTTTTTCTCGCTGTTCTTCCCATTTTGCTTTAGATCTAATAAAGGATCCCTTTGTTTTATTTGTTTCAAAATCATTAAGTTCAGTTTTTGTATCATTTATTCTTGCTAAAATTTCCTCTTAGTTCTGTAAACTATCGCTGTTATCCAGTTCTATCTCTTAATCATGTAATAATATTTCCAGGTCATTGATTCTACTCTTATCTTATCTTTATTTTTCTTTGTTGATGTATAGTAAATTGTTAGGCCTCTAATTTCCATAAGATTCATTTCCCACAGAAGTTGATCTTTAATTTGGTATTTTACAGTTTGGTCTACTGTTTTGAAGTTATATTTGTTCAGAGTGTTTTTAATAGTTTCTTTGACTAATCGTACATATTTTGGATATTGTAATAAACAGTTATTGAATTTCCAAAAAGTCATGTCATTGACCCGAACGTGACACCAAACTGTGTCTTTGTCCAATCCCCCGTTGCAAAATATTGAATGGGGATTCGATCAGTCATAGTGATTATTGATCCTCTTAATTTCTTAAGACGTTTCAGCTCCAGTTTGTTCAGTCTGCTTTTGGAGGAGTCAATTCTGAACCGGATCATTCGTCATGTCTGACTGATGGTTCACTTTTACTCACTGTGCTGTGAGGACTGTGATTCTTTGTTGATTAAACATACAGTTGCTCGCTCCTCAAACAAGGACTTTCTGCACTGTCTGGTGTTGATGTTACCATTTTCACATTATGGACATAAGTAAAGTGACCTTAATCCCATGTGGATTATCAAACCCTCAATGGATTTGCTGATCTGGTTTATTTCTCTATTCATTCTAGGGTTATCCACTTTCGACTGCCGGTTATAGCAGGTCCTAAGTATCCACTTGCGTGCCATCTTGATGCAATGGGTTGGAGCATCATAGTCACTGGTGTCCGCACATGTTTGTCTAGTTGAGGTGTCTTCATGGACAAAGTTGCCGGGTTACATGTAAAGGCTCAGAGTGAGTGAGTGAGTTAAGATTTAACGTCACATCGGCATTATATCAGCCATATCGTGACGAGAACAATGTAAGGGCTTAGAAAGCAAACAAACCATTAATGTCAGAACAACGTATCTATGACGTTACTTCAGGTTGTCCTTTTAATTGTGGAACTGTAGAAACTATTACCAATAATTTGCTATTTCTTCTATTTCTAAAACGAGTTATTCCAATAAGACGTATCATCTGCCCACACACACACACACACACACACACACACACACACACACACACACACTCAACTCCCCCCCCCACACACACACACACCACCCCTTTTGCAAAAGTTATGATCCTTTCAAGGACCGTAAAGAGTTGTTTGCCTCTAAAGATGCATCAGCTCCCTGAGGATTGGAAAGGGTGCCATATCCTAATCCTAAACCCTAACCTAACTCTAAACCCTATGGTGCAGCATGATTAACCCTACTGTATCTGCTAGTTTTAGTCTTTTATCAGACATCAGATGTCCACTGAAAAATACAAGACATACTGTTAGAGGGGGTTGAGCCCCATTAGGGATTCGAACCCACACTGGCACAGTGGGGCAACCTATCCCCAACATTCGAATCACCCACAAAAATAGAAAGTCTGGTAACTCGTAGTCTTGATCACGAAATCCCAAATATGACATATATTTGACCATTTTCTGAATAACATTGTTTATTCGTAGCTTCCGGAATCTTTAACCATCAAGATGTTTTCGGTTCGGCTTTCGGGACAAAATATCGCAGACCAATGTGGTAGACCACCTAACAATATATATCATCAATAGTTTTGGTTATGTTCCGCTAGGAATGGTTATCTATAACAAATAATCATCTGAAAACATCAGTATCGACTTGTATGCTAATTTACCATCTAATCAATGTCCCGTAACACTCAGCTTCTTTCCATTGTGAATGTCGCTGTACACCTTTTGTCAATACACTGTGGATTTCTTAAATATTACATGATCGAGAACGTTTTCTTGGCCTTCCTTCAATGTCCCATTCGATAAACAATGTTTGTGATGTCAAGTTCAGAACATTAGCCCCTAACGATGTTGCGATTATCATATGGTTTGTCCTTACTGAGGTATAAGGATCTTCTAAAGCAGAGCTGTGTTCGCGATACTACACTGTTTAATGTCACATGATACATGACGCCATATGATTTGATATTACTACAACTTGTCTGTTGGCAAACTTCTTGTAGCTTACTCGTTAACAGCAATCTTGTGTTTGGTTTATCACGACTGCCAGTGAAGCATGGCATTGAAAACAAAATACCTTCCACTCGACTGAGCTCTTGTCAACATCATTTCTCAGTGTTGCACAAATTATTCATAGAACGTGCCCTGCACATAAATAAACAGGTAATTGACACACATCACGTCACAGTACTCTTGCTATCTGACAGCAGTGATTAAACAAACAACCCAGTCACACGATGGTGAATTAAGTCCTTTGACACACTTGATTGCCAAAATCGGGGAGGTCTGGAAGGTGGTCAAATAAACAAGTAGCAAAACTATCTCCAAATGTTTAGCATGTATAGCATGTTTCTACCTGCCAGAACACAGAAGTGTGTGAATGTTGTTTGTTGACGCTTCGGCCATGTCATGGCGGCCTGTAAATGAGATTTCCTTGACCAGACAAACAAACACTGGCATGAGGAATGAAACCCTCGAATAGTGTTTTTATACGCATTACAGATATCCATTACACACATGGATAGTAGACGAGGTCGTAAAAAGTCTATAATTGCTCTCTTGTGACTCTTATCTGGACACAGTCAGCTTTTAAAACCTGCACGCGAGGAAACTTTGCAAACGATGAAACATGTATTTTTTGCAAATACGTGAACACGTAGCCTTCTTTTCGTTTCTCGTAGCCATGACCCTTTACTAGCTCTTCAATCTGACAATATCACGACGGGGATCAAAGGATGGGTTTAATATAGCGAACCCATGTCACCAATACTCAGTGGGTTTCTTGAGAGCATACATTACACTAATACTGATCTGATGACAACCAGGAGAGGTATGTACCACGTACCACCTCTATAATATCATGTACAAAGTAAGTGACCCCGCTAGTACATCTGGGCAAAATTGGTTTACGCCCCCTACCTCCCCAGAATAACATTGGTGACTCTGCCCCCACCACCCTCATAAAAATCATCATGTTATGGATAAAACGGAACAGGCTATGATTGAATCGAAAGCAACACAGAACAACGATTGTACAGTGATTGTGTTGACGACAGACGCAATTAATTCCTCATATTGATCAGTGTCAGTCGCGAGTAATGAGGAACGAAGATTAATAGGACAGTGTCACGCTTCATTTAGTGACATGATTATGGAAAATAATGATTTGTTGAGATCTGTTACCGAGCGTACATATCAACATTGTATCAACACAGGTTTCTCCACTTGGAGTCATTGTTGTCTGTGACACCACGATGAACAGGTTCAACTTCCTGTGGCATCTGATGGTAACCACAGGTAGGAATAGCTTCATTTGTATTCCTGTCTCCAACGGTTATCTTCAATACTTTTATTTCTTCTATTTTACTTAAGTTATTTCCTGACATCGGGATAAGTTGACATTCTTTTATTAGCAACAGTTACTGCCACGAATTAACATTTTCGAACGTTTTACTTTAGTTCATTTTATTACAGTGGAGAAAAATAAGACTGCATTTCGAAAAACTTAGTTTAAGACTGGTGAGGCTAACTCCAGAATATCTTGTAGCAGTTTCTTTTTGATAAATGCAATCATCGTAGTTATCGAATTTCGGAAAGACACGTTGCAGATGGAACTGTATTGGGTGTTGTTCTATCGACTGACTTGTCACAGACATGGTGATCAGTCCAGCCTGTAATGTGAAGATATTGCATGTAACTAACAAAGCTTCGTGGATTCAGGATAGAAGAGTTTAGAATAACATTATGTCTTATGCTTGTTATACGAAAAACAGTTTTGTGTTGGGTTTTACACCCCTTTTAGCAATATTCCAGCAATATGACGGCGGACACCAAATTGTGCTTCACACATTGCACCCATGTTAGGAATCGTAGCCAGACCTTTGGTGTGACGAGCAAATGCTTGAACCATCAGACAACCTTGTCACCCATACAGTTTTAGGAATACACTTTCCAGTTAGCGAGTCTTAGTGAACTAAATACATTATGCATTTTGCTAATACATTTTATCATCCCAAAACAGCATAATGTTTTTAACCTCCAGGTATTTTGAAAGATACAATAGGAAAAGCCTTCATACAAACAAATGGTCAGCTGACGACGAACATTGATATCAGCCAGAAGGAGTCGCTGCTACTGCAAGTGAGAGGCTGTGCTAAGCTCTACGTTGTGCTCCGTGAGAACGAGGGTGGAGAAGAAGCAGCTATTGGAATTGGGATTAAGTCTAATAATGGAATTATAATAAAGCCATGCCACACCTGCACAGTGAAATACGGTGCCGAGTCAGCATATCTCGACTGCACAGCCTTTAAGCCCTTTTGGATAACCTGGGCGGGACTGACAGTGAAGATTGGTCGCGGCCATGAGGTGGGGATGCAAGAAATTCTATCAACAACATCAACCAAGTCCTACAAAGTCAACTTCCTGGTCCTCGAGGGCGTTGCTAACTGGATCATTGGTATGCCATTCTATTTGTCTTTCGTGGCTTTTTTTCTTTAATCAAAGATTAATGACGCACAAGCCAGTATTTAAACTATATCAGGGTCCCCGGATCATGGTCATCGAGACTAGGTTGCAGATACTGGCGCCGAAAAAATCATTAGGAGCGCAGTTCGTAATCTCCACATGTAGACATGTACATTGCTTCAATGATGATTTAAAAGTATATTTCATGATCAGTGTTTCTTTGTTGTTGTTTTTGCATTAACGCCGCACTCAGCAAAATTCCAGATATATGTTGTTTCGTTTTCAGAAAATGAGGTCTCGAAGTGTGGCCGTCACTTGTACCAACGCATTGTGCAACCTCTGGAAGGTATGATCAACGACCTGGAAGTGTTCCACTCCTTTGCTGCTGCCGACATCGTCCGCTGCCTTAAAACATGCCACGAAATCCAAGGATGTCAAAGCATCAACTACAACAAGCAAGACGGCACCTGTGAGCTCTTTGCTGCTTTGCCTGGGAATGGTGACTTCAAGGCCAAGGCCAATTTGCAGTCGTGGATTGTCGTTGTTTGAGTTCTCCACTGACTGGACATATGTCGTCAAGCTGTCTAAAGCAACTCAGTACAAAATGCATGTAGTCACTCACTCACTGTAATCGTTCAGTGTGCAAATGTATCATTTATGTTCATATTCACTTTCGTGAGTTGTTGATTAACAGACAAGAAGCACCTTTCACAGTATTCCATTCATTTCAAACTATGTAGTCACTCACCCACTCTAATCTGGCAGCGGCATTAGATTTATTCATCACGTTTCCTACTCATTTGTCCTTTGTAACAATAGTGTGTGCAAATTTATCATTTATGTTCACATTTCATTTTCGTGACTTCTTGAGGACCACGTAAGAATGATCTCCAATTTCATGACAGCATTCCATTCGCTTCAAATTAATCAAATGTTTTGGAAAGAATAAAGTAGGTTAATGTTCTAGTCCACCTGTCAGGCAATATTCCTGCATTGTTCTAGCCAGGGCTAATGTATGAGGTTGGCACTTTTGATGTATACTCGGCGTCATTAATGAAGGGTCAAGCTATTGGTTACACTATTTCTCAAAAGTTGTAAGATCTTCGGTTTCGTTTGAAATATATACAAATTTTTATTCAAATTGTCAATATGGAAATCCACCTGTCACTTAATATTAATGATTTGCACGTGCAACTCTCTCTATACATGGAGAGTGAAGGACAATACACATGCATTGATACTTTTCACTGTCGTTCACTGTTCAGGTACCTGTTTGAAATCGCAGCTTAAAATTAGACGTTTTTGACTCTTTCTTAAAGGGCTTCAAGAGGTCAGGCTATAGGTAGATTTCAAACCAATGGGTCCATGGAATATGCACGTCGACCAGAGACAGATTCCTTAACGCAGCAGATCTTCAGACATAACACTTCAATGATAACAATGTAAATATATCCAGGAGCACCGTTCGTGGACAAGTTTTGATTACTTTCAGATCCCCTTCATATAGATAGCTGGAATATTGCTGAGTGTAGAGTTAAACAATAAAAAAAAGAATGCAAACAAGCATGTTGTTCTGTCTCGTCCTGTTGAGGATAAACAGGAAATAAAAAAAAGTAAAAACAATAAACCAACAATAGCTCAGTAATTTCGTACACAAGAGACACACTTAATTCCTATATATTGATCAGTGCCAGTCACGGGTAATGTGTCACGCGCTATTGAGTCACAACTTTATGGAACATATCCCTTAGAGAGCGTAGATATCAACATCGCACCAACACAGGTTTCTCCACTTGGAGTCATTGCTCTCTGTGACACCACGATGAACAGGTTCAACTTCCTGTGGCGTCTGATGGTAACCACAGGTAGGAATGTCTTCACTTGTATTCCTGTCAAAATGCTACTAAATATGCAACGGTTACTATTAATACTTGTATTTCTTATTTACATAAGTGATTTCCTGACATCAGGATGCGCTGACATTCTTTCATTACCAGCTGCCACTAATTAATATTTTCGAACGTTTTACTTTTGATCATTTTATCACTGTGAAGAAAAATCAGACTGCATTTCGAAAAACTAAGGTTTTGACAAGCAAGGCTGACTCCAGAATAGCCTGTAGCAGTTTGTTTTTGATAAATACAATCACACTAACGGGCGAACCAATGGATTACCACAGAGGTGACCACTGACAAAAAGGAGCGTGCATCTTACTGGCCACTTCGTAGTTACACCAATGTCGGAAAGGCGCATGTTCTTCATTATTAACTCCCAAGGATCCTTTGTTTCCTTTGTTTCAATCTCAAATTATCATGCATCGTCTGTTCTATTCGAGTTCACATTGTACAAATTGATAATGATTTTTTTGCGCGTGACATATTTAAAAGTGAGAACTGCAGGAACAAGCCGCATCTTAATGTTATCATTTATCCTTTATATCAATGCAGCTTTACCTGATGCATGAAGAAAGGCATAAATATTGTCTTTCAATGCATATTTTAATGTTGGGATAATGTTTAATGCAAGTATTTTTCTATTCGCAGTCATCTGTGATCGACTAGGAACCAGTTCTTTAAATTTGTATAACTTCACACAATCGGCATCCTGTAATCAATTGATATTTACTGGATGATGAGAACAGTATTGTATTTACCATATGCATGGGCGGAATTTTCCAAAAGTATGTTTCAAGTGTATGTTTTAGTTCTTATCTTCCAAAGCGCAACTATGTGTATTTTCCCCCGTTCAAAGTTTATATAAATACACATTACATACAGCTACCTTACATGGATAAAACTATACCATAAGTTGTACAAAAGTTGTACCAGAGCCACAGACTGACTGAACTGGGTTTATTACATGTCATAAAGGTGAACTCTTGTCAGGATGTAGTAGGGCTATTGAAGTGGAATACATTCTCTTATTAACACCTGTCACAAGGGACCGGCCGTTTTGGTTTGTGCTCAGGGTGTCTTCCCATTTGTGAGAACTCCCAGTTTTGAGACACATTAATTAATGGTTGAGTACACATAGGTGATGCTTCCACATCCCTACAATGAAAGTGGGAACAGCCCAGTTGTTGAAGAGTACCCACAGGAGCCATAATTCATTGATGAGTTAATAAACCCAGAAGATATCGTTAGTTAAAGAGAATTTATTGTTTTCAGTAAAAAACATCGATACGTTTTGTTTAACTATTACGAAGTTTGAAAGTCATTGTGAAACACTTTTGTACGCATTGAAACGTGTGTCCATATTTGGAGATCTTGGAGATGCTCAGAGACGATGTTATGCAGTTGGTGCACACAGTTCAGATGAATGTTATGTCTGTTTCAGTATTGATTGTTTTAAGTATATTTTATGCAAAACGTCTCACAGAACCCATGTGGATGGCCGATGTAACAATCAAAGATACATATTTTATTTTTATTATGTAAAATATCGGGTGAGACTCGAATACAAACGAATACCACTTATGTCACAATAGTTTGAGAAGAATGTTCAAATCTGCAATCGCCTGCGATGCTTAAAAGGCTTGAAGCGACATCTGCACGTTCATCTTTTGATGTATTGATATACATACGTCTCTGTCACTGTAGAGAAACCCGCGCCAAAGGAACTTATATTTTTAGAAAATGTTAAAACCTGCATTGAGAACACAATGCCATTCGTAGCCCAATGCTTGTTTGATCGGCATTCTTAAAGTACAACTTTACAGATACCATTCTCTTGTTGATGCATAGAGGGGCATTCCCATGTTTATTCTCACACTGTTACCAAGGTGTCCTCTCATTCTGCCTACACCCATTCTGCACACTCCAACGCAGTGATGACTTAGCATAACATCACTGCACAGGCTCATTTGCATATCACGTGACCGGACTTTTCTCTTGTTTGTAAACATACGCGCATATTTATAATAAGAAGAGACTGGCCTTACGCAAGCTTTTCGGCGCGCTCTTCACAGTGTTTTACATTGTTACATATATATTCTTCCACAACTGCGACAATAACATTTATGACAGTACATATTTAGATATCAAACTGGATGCATATTTCTCTCTCTGTTGGCTTCGATGACAGCACGTGGAGCAGTACAACCTATGTAAACAAAGTATCGGTACGCAAATCGAAATAGTGTTACATGTTTTAGGATATTTTCTCAGTGAAACTAAACCATTCTAACAAAGATGTTTAATCAGATGTGTAGACTCGTCAAAAATAGATGAGTTAAGGAATATGTAGAGTATATTGAATGGACGGTGCAAGATGTATATCGTCACATCTTTCTGGCCTGTGGCAGAGGTACTATGCTGGCTTGCCGCATGGAACTCTGGGTAGAAGAGTGCTCATTCTGCCTACAGCTAAAAACAACACAAGTATGGTCTGTTGGTCACAATTGTGTAAGTAGAATGAGAAAGCGATAGATAATACTTGACCCTACATCCCCACAAGAAAAAATGGAAGAGCTTGATTCTTTTGTCATGTTGTTTGTTTTGTGTGTGTATGTCTTCGGTTTTTTGTTTGAATCGTATTGATAAGTGGACTGCTTTAATTCATCCTTGTTATATGGACATTCTTATGTTTTGTTACTTACTGTTTTCTTACTGTTACTTATCAATTAAAAACAGTGAAAAGACTGGTTCCTCTCTAATCCACCTCTTCTGGTTAACTACTTTTCTCTATTAATTATCTTTATACAAATAATAAACAGACTGGTTTCTCTCTAAATTTTCTTCTGCATTTAAATTACCTACAACGTGGACATAATATATAAAATGAGTTTAGTTATCTGTACCATTGCTGTTATGGCTGGTTTACAGAGAGTTGAGTTTATCACTTCCCTTGAGGACCCGTGCCAGGAAAGAAGTCACACCTATTCAACAGATCTTCGAAGATGAGACGAGAACCTTGACCATCGATGAAGTTGCCACAACACCCTCCTTCGCTAGCATTGAAGCTGGTCTCTACCGACACCGCCGGAAAAATCTTCCTCCACTCCCAAAGACCCTGGCTGATGTGTGCATAGAAGACCAGTGGGCTGAGACCAGTGACGGAAGTCAATTCTTCGCCATAGGCGATGGTGTCGACAATACGTCATACGCCTCACTTGGAGGGCTGGCACTCTAGACGGAACAGGTCCCTTGGCAAGTCCCACCGAAACCTGTTCGAGTTTATCAGTAAGTTGAAGGACAATGAATCAACAGACAGAAAGAAGAAAATTCAACTGGAGCATAGTGGTAAACCGAATGGCAGAAAACAAGTGTATCGCGAACTTGATTCTCGAGACTAAAGGAGGCCCTTCATCAAGGTCGATGGACAAAGCTTCAGTATTTAGATGCCTCTGGTCATCTCTTGAAATTGAAATTGCAGATTGATAATAATGATGCCATTACAATTATAATAATGATGATAATGACAGGGAAATGTGAGATTTCTCGTATACAAATGTCTATATTTCATAAATATCATGTTATCTACTATGAATAAAATTGGAATACAATCAAGATTGTGTTATGTTATTCTCATGGGCAAGTCCATTTCAACATTAGGGGTGGCCTGATTTTCTCATTCTGCCTACACTTGTATTATGTCTGTAGGCAGAATGAGAGTAAACCGTTACCAAGATTAACGTTCCACAACCAGGTGAATAGGAGTATATACATAGAAGTATATATATAGAAGTATATATATAGAAGTATGTATATATAGAAGTATATATATAGAAGTATATATAGAAGTATATATAGAAGTATATATATAGAAGTATATATATAGAAGTATATATATACAAGTATATATAAAGAAGTATATATATATAAGTATATATATACAAGTATATATAAAGAAGTATATATATATAAGTATATATATACAAGTATATATATAGAAGCATATATATATAAGTATATATAGAAGTAAATATAGAAGTATATATATAGAAGTATATACATAGAAGAATATATAGAAGTATATATCTAGAAGAATATATATAGAAGTATATATCTAGAAGTATATATCTAGAAGTATATATCTAGAAGTATATATATAGAAGTATATATCTAGAAGTATATATATAGAAGTATATATATAGAAGTATATATAGAAGCATATATAGAAGAATATATATGGAAGTATATATGTAGAAGTATATATGCATAGTGACAAGCGGCAGATTAACAACATCAGGTAATTTAGTAAGTTGCACACAGTTGGATGGGACCAGAAGGAGAGTAAGATCAACTAACCTGATTGATAGATTCTATCCGTAATTCAACTTCAGTATTACAATGTCGAAATCCACTCCATCGTACAAATGATGGACTCAACCAACTATTCAATTATCATCCCATCAGCTTGTTTATCCTGAACGATGTACATCGAAATGGCGCCATATGCAATCGAACTGGGAGTTGTTGTCACTTAAGTGGTATGTTTCGTTATATATCCCCATACTGTTTATTGCAGCATAAGTGAGATCTGCTTCAGTTTGCGAATGACCAATCTTTGAAATCGGGTTAAATTCAATTTTAGTAAACTGCTATCTAACAAATAGATAGCAGATTTTAAAAATCTCATTCCAGTTTCATTTACCAAGATACACTCAATCTTTTCATATTAGATATAAATCTACCGGTACCAGTTTGAGGTGTCTGGTCATCAGTAAATTAACATAGTGATCATATATTTCCTACCATTACATCTGTCATTAAAGCGTCATTTATGCCATTATAATGTTCTCTGATCCATCTCGTCATACAGCATTTATTTCATTCAATATTTTGAAGTTCGTATGATAGCATGAAATATGTTACTGTTCCAGTTCAGTTTGAAGTGTGAAATCATTTTCGTCTTCAAGTGTTCCAACCATTATAGTCATTGTGTTTACAAACAGCATGGTTTTTAATAACTATCAATTTAGATGTTATACATGAGTGTATGCACACACAAAACATGCGTAATTTGTCAATTATGTTCGGAAGAAAGAGAAACATCTAATTCAATTAGAAACACTACATACATTGGTTGTGTCCCACTAGTCATACGCCCACTTGTCATACGGCCACTAGTCATACGCCCACTAGTCACACGGAACAGAGAGGATTGATTACAACAAGGGTATTGCTCCCTACGATACAGAGAGAAAGAGAGAGAGAGAAAATGTTTATTAAAGTGTCACCTGCTTTTGCAATAAAATACCTTACACTACATACATTAAACACAGAAAGCACCCGGCCATTTGACCTAGGAGACTCTAAAATCACAAGCATTATCACAGTAATACAATAAAATAAGAGAATACAAATAAAACACATCATTGCTTATATTAATAAAATGATATTTTAATCACACAAAAGTTATAAAAGCACTTATCAACCATATTGGCGTAAACGTGCACTCACACGCAATCACGCAATTATGCACTCATTCAACCACTCACGCAATCATGCATTCACACACATCGTACAATCCCGCACTCACGTACACAATCACACAGTCACAGGCTTACGCTATTACACTCTCACGCTATGACATTCTCGCACAAACATGTACACATACATACGCAATAACGTACTCACGCGCACATACATACATACACACTCTACACACCATCCACACACATATACACCACATGAACAGACACACAAAACACATGGAAAAAGCATATTAAAATACTATATCCAAAGTGAGGTTCTTCTTCTCACCATAAGCTGCACCTTGGAAGCAAGTAGAAGGTGGCATTGACGACTTTGCATTACAAAATTATATTTTTCTTTGATTTTTTTCTGCATAAAAGCATTATCTATTTTCAGAGCCAATTTAAAAACGTCGTACATGATATCGGAGTATAGCGGGCACGTGATGGTGGAAGCCTCGATATACAGGGGGCAGAGTGGACAAACCCTGTCATGTAGTGGGATAGGCGGCTTAACGAATCTACCAGTCTCGATGCACAGAGGGAGACTACAGGCTCTCAGTTGTATGATGGACTTGCGGTGGTGTCTTGACATCGTATTGGTTACATAGGGTTCAGGGCATAAATCCTTCTTTAACAGTCGATAGGTCCTAAGCTTGTTTCCATTTGTTGCATTACCTTTATCATTCCACAAATCAATTAACCATTTCTGTTCATCCAAGATATTCAGTTTCTGTCGTACAACTGAAATTGTAGATTTGTCTAAATACAGGTATTGTTCCAGATCTAACGATTCGCTCAGTTTTTACCTCTTGGTTCCCAGGATCTCTTCCGTTTAAGTGACCACTTGTGTACGTTGTGCGGGAGTCTAGACTCTGGCATATGACGTACTCTCATCCACATTCTAAATACTTCAAGGCGTTGTTTGGTAACGCACGACGTCCAACCCATATCACCTCTGGTGGCGATATTAGACGTTTTACTACTGGCTCCGAGGAAAAAGCGACAGGCTCGATTCTGAATTACACTGATAACTGTGTGTTCGTAAAGCCCCCAAATACCCAATCCATAGGTGAGGATAGGCTGTACTAATGAGTTGTAAAGGGTTGTAAATACATCGTAGGCCACTCCACCTGCATCACAAAACTTAGTGCAGAGAGCACTCAGAGCTTAATCTGCCCATTTCGCTAGTTGATTCACAGCAATTTTAATCCGCAATCCAAATGTTCACCAAACCATAGGCCGAGGTACTTGTAGTGCTCCGTGTAATGCAATGAGATATCGCCACAAGAAAACTGGACATGAGAGCAATTTTGCGATCGGGGTCTAAAATATACAATTTTAGACTTTTCACCATTTAACTCCAATCTCTATTTGAGACACCATTTATGAACTTCATCCAGCATAGACTGTAAGTGCTCTTCCGTTGGTGCAAGTAAGACAGTGTCATCTGCATAAAAAAGGATACTAATATTTTCTCCATTCACATCAACACCACAGTTCATATTCCGTACACTCCGAGCCATTGTTTCTCATGTCGATGAAGCAGGCAAACGTCAATCGTGCTGGGTTTTACAATGGGGTTGACAATGCCATGTTTCCAAGCCTGGGGGGACGTAGCCACTCTGGAAACAATATTTGATTAAACATGAAGAATGTCAACGCAAGCATCATTCTTGATTGCTTCAGATGGGATTGAGTCAATACCTGCTGCCTTTCTCAGCTTAGCTCGAATAACAGCAGCCTTAACCTCTTCTCGAGTAATCTCCCGGTTGATAGCAGTTACGCCATCTGAGGCTGTGACGTCATCTACTCCCAGGGAGTCTTTTACTGCTTGTAAGTGTGCTTCATCAAAGGACATGGAGTTGGTGTTTTCACTGTGTTTCACTTCGTAATCGTCTTTCCACCTTTTCATGGCAAGTTCAGGGTCGGATACAACAGCGCCATTGTTGCCAATGACTTCCATGGGGATACGAGCCTTGCGTTCATACCCAATTCCTATTTTGCCAAACGACTTCCAGAATACTGACGAGTCACAGTTCTGTAGTTGATCCAACATCGCCCTTTGTTCGCTGATTTGATAGGATCGCTTCGTCTTTCTATGTAGTCTGTCAAAATATTTCTTTGGAGAACAGAAATGTCCATGTAGAATTCGCTTCTGTCCACGGTTGGAAGCTCGGCGCCATTTGTGTTCCAGTCGACGTGATTTATCCAATTGTAGCTGCTGCTCTGGACTGGCTTGCACTAGCGTTTGTTTCTGCTTACGAGTATTAAGTTTCGATTTCATGGGGCAAGCATCGTCAAGGGTTTTAGTGACAAGAGAAACAAATTCGTCGTAGGCTGAGTTGGTATCGTGCTGTGTAGAGAGACTGTGTTTAATACGTTGTATGGCAGCCACAACAGCCTCGGAGTCACCGTCCTGTAGGAAGTCACCCAGGATATCCTTCACATTGAAGTGCCGTAAATGCTCACCCCCTGTAAGCTGTGTCCCCTTGTCGTTCCCAGTGTCCGCAAATCCAGATACATCTGCTACCAAAATCGTAAATTGTTGTAAATCTCATATTTACAAAATGATAAATATCTTGTAAACCTCATCTATACAAAATTGTAAATGTGTTCTAAATCTTAACTTTACAAGAGCTTTACAAGCTTGTAAACTTTTTGCAGTGGTTATCTCGCAGTCTGTTATAGGAAAAACAGCTTCAGCAGAGAG